ACAAGAAAGCTGAGAAAGTGAACTTCTTTGAAATAAAAATGTTGAATTACAAAAATAGTCGGCAGCCGCCCACAAGCGGAAAGTAACAGCTGCCGAAATACGTACAGGCAAAATAAAAATATAATAAGCTGTTGTACGATAAGGCAAGCTGAAGCAAAAAAAACAAAAGGCAAAAATTCAGAAAGCGGCAAGTCTAAAGTTGAGCGCATGATGAACCGCAAGATTCTGAAGACGACTGCCCGAGTTCCTATGCTTCAGCCTGAGGATCAGACTGATCAGCTTCATTGGGCCCAATGGTGGTCTCAGCTCCAGCAGCAGAAGAAGCAGGCTTTGCACTCTGCCGAGCCTCCCTTTCCCTCTGCTCAGCCTCCAACTCCATCCTCTCAGCTTCTTCCTCGGCTTCCTCAGCCTTAAGGATTTCAGCTTCGATTGGAGTGGCATACTTCATGTGAGGGTCTTCGGGATCTTGGACCCATTCAGCACATTTGGACCAGTCCAGCTTCGGCTCAGCATGAAGGCAGACCCTTCGGCACACTCTGAACCCGTTTCTAAAACCCATTTCATACTCTTCTTGGGTATAGATACGGACTTTGAGTAGAGCCTCAGCATCGGCCAACTTCTTCTTCGTCTCCTCCAAGTCTTCCTCGGATCTCTTCAGCTCATCGACGAGCTTGGAGGAGGAGCCTTTCAGCTCGGTAAACTCTTGCTGAACCTGGGAAGCCTCGGCCTGAACTTGGACCATTTCTTCCTTCTTGGCAGTGAGCTGATCCTCAGCCTCTTGTAGCTTAGCTCTTTGAGCTTCAGCAGCAGCAGCAGCCCTTGAGAGTTGGACATCCCTAGCTTGGAGCATCTCTTCAGCAGCCATTCTGCTGGCTTCAAGAGATTCTAGCTGATGCTGCACTTCAGCCTGTGCAGCAGCTCCTTCTTGGATTCGGCTCTCGATAGCAGCCTTGAACTTGGAGATGTCCACCCCCAGGTGCTCTTGGAGGAATTTTTCCCCTTCCATCAGTGGGGAAAAACTTCCTTCTCCATAGCGTCGCAGAAGGTCTGGAGGGCTTCAGCAGCCTTTTTCTCGTACTCCTCAGCCTTCTGCTGCTTCTCTTCAGCTGCTGCCTGCTTCAGCTTAGCAAGCTTTAGCTCTTCCTCGGCTACCCTTTGATCGTGCTCGGCAGCGTCCACCCTATCTTGTAGGGAATCTATCAGCTCTACAGTGAGAGTTTGATTGTGCACGAACTGAAAACAGGGGCACAAGTTAAAAAAGTAAAAAATAATAGCTGAAAGGTTGAGTTCAGAAAGAAATCAAGGCAAGGAGAATTACCTGCATCATCAGCAGTTGGTTGGACCTGGCAGGGTCAGGAACTGATCTGCTGGATTCGCCCATCCCAGCAGTGGCCTTCAGCGACCAAATCCTTGCCCTATCTACTTCGGACAGGCCAGCAAAATCGCCGAAGTAGGCTGCAGCACCTTCTCGGTTCTGACCCCATATAAGGTCCCAGATGTGGTCTGGGACTGGAATTCGGGGGGCCGAGAAACCCATTTCTCCAGACTGCAGCGTCTGGAAGGAAGGGAAGGATGACGATGGAGCCTCTTTAGCTTTGGGTGGCTCAACGTCCTCCTCCTTCTCAGAAGAGTCAATTATTGTGACCTCTTCTTCTTCAGGTGTGAGGACGAAGGCCCCAACCTCTCTGGCAATGTCCGCCGTGAAACCCTCAGCACTGGGCATCACGGCGTCTCCATCCTTGTCCTCGGCGGCACTCTCTCGAGCTTCTTCCAGAACCTCTCCTTAGGTTTGGGAGTTCTCTGATCCACCTCCATCTTGGGGGGTGGCGGAGAGGCCCTTGGGGGTGATTGAGGCGGTGGCCGGGGAACCCTCGGCGATCCATTGCCTTCCTCGGGTTCCCTTATTTTCAACGCCGATGGTCATCGGCTCCGCTGAAAGTCATGCGGGCCGATGATGGCCATTCTTCGGCGCCTCTTCTGAAGCGGCTGCTCGTCCATACCCGAGTCTGAAGACTCTTCTTGTACTTGGTCTTCGGGACGAACAGGGGCTTTTCCCTTCCCTGTGTCTGCTGCTCTCTTCAGACTGTAAAGGGCAGGCAGGGGGAAGAATGTGAGTAAAAAAAAAAAAGAAGAAGAAAGACAAAGTTAAGTCTAAAGGCTCACCGAGGTCTTCAGCAAAGCCTCGTCTTCTTCAGCTGCCCTAGCCGCAGCTTCTTCAGCAACTCTGGAGGACCCTTCTCCACCTTCACAAGCTTCAATAACCCGTGCAACCTCTTCGGCTGTACGGGCAGCTTCAGCTTCTTCTTCCAGCAGCTGAAACAAGGGATCTCTCTTCTTCCACCAAGGCTTCTGCCTCTGATACAGAGCAACAGCCTCAATTTGGGAAGTGGGAAGAGTCTAGGTGAACCTCTCGGCGCCTTGGTTTCAGTGATAGGGGGAGCCCGATCAGTTACGACTCGTTCTCGGTTGACGCCAAGGCGAGCGTAATCAATGCCGACGTTGGTCTCGTCCCGTTCTGAAAAAGAAAAGGGGAGAAGTCAATTCAGTTAGTTCGGCACATCACAAGAAAGCAAAATGAAAGAAGAAAAGAGATAATTAAAAGGTCCTCGCGCCCCAGCCGAAGAAGATTACCATCCCTAAACTTTCGGCTGAGGCCGACAGCTGCCAGCATATTCTCTTGGAAAAACATAGTGCGTATCGGGGAGCCAAGTCTCCGGGATATTGCTGCATTCGGCCGCTGGCTCTCCCCGGTTCGGCAGCTTGCCGAAGATGTTCTGCTGATTAAGGTTCGGGTCTGGCCCGCTATCTTCGGGAAGGACCTAAACTTCCCATATCAGGATCCGGCTCGGCAAGATACCGGGGAGCGCTGAAAACGTAAGGGTGGCTCGGCTCCGTGGGTGCCCTAACCCAAATCCATTGACCTCTCCAGTCCTTGTCTGAAGAGTCGTTCGGCCACCATGGTTTAGGAACGGGGGCCGAGACTCAATCCGATACCACCCAGAGCCCATGGCATCCGTGCCCACTTTGAATGTTTTGGCACTAGCCGATGGAGCCTTTTGAAGCAATGCAGGTTCGGCACGTACCTGAAGAATTTGCAGACCCATAAGTACGTCTCATTACCCTTCGGATGCTGGTGGGGGTCAGCTGGCACAGGGAAATGTTTGTAAATGGATCAGCAAGTCTCGGACGAATACGTCCAAAGGGAACCTCAGCCCGTACTGGAGTTGTCTTGTGTACACCCCCACATACCCCGGGGGTGGACGGTGGATTCTATCGGAGGCCGTGGGCATTCGGCACCAATACCCATCGCTTCAAGGATGCCGTAATGCAACTCAATTTGCTCGGCAAACCGGGTACTGATCAGCATTCTCCAGCCCACCATGAGTAGGGGCGGTTCTTTATCATGGCCGAAGCTACTTCGGGCATCCTCCCACTCTGAAAACCCTGGGAGGATATCCCCAAAGGACAGCGGGAACTTCATCATCCCGTCCTGAAGCGCTCACCCCCTCAGCCCTCTGAGGAGGAGCCGAAAGAAATGGGAGTCGCCCTTAACCCCTTCAGGCAGGCGTCAGACTCTGTCCTTCGTCCATTCCAGGTCCCAATCCTGTCCCTGGGATCGGGGATTAGCCTTGCTCTTCTTGGAGCACGGGCTCCACCTCTAACTCCCCTCACCATTGACGAATTTCGAAGGAAAAAGGTCGAAAAAGGGGAAAGAGTGCAAAGTCGAAGAAAAATGAAATAAAATCAAAGGAATTTACCTTGATCTGAAGCAAAAGTCGCCGATTTACGAATTGGTAGTGACAAGTCTCAGCTTCTAAGCTTAATGCTCGGGGAATTTGCGAAGTTTTGATGCGGGCTCTTGAGCGTTCTTGAGAATTCTGGGTTTGTGTTGATGAATGAGTGGGGAGAGAAGACGCGCCTCTATTTATATCTCCAGAAATGGGAATTCAAGGAGTCTGCGTTTCAATTTCTCTCAAGCACCCACTAAGTAACCGTTAAACACACGACCTTGCAGTTAAATCGCCCACTACCCGTCCAACTTCCGCAATTATCCACATTAACTGTTTGTTATCTCATTAATCATGGGTTAATTACGGTTTAAATTCACATTTTTGGATTAACAAATCATTCACTTCCCTCCTTTTCTGATTAAATCAAACCCGACCCGTCATCCTTCCAAATCGGGTCTGGGGGGCAAGTTGTTTGGGTCCAATTTAGTCCAATTGGGCCTGGTCACTGAATGATCCAATTATAAAGCCCAAGGTTAAGGTTCAACTCTCCAAATGTGCTAAAGTCAAAAATCAACATCCTCAAAGCCATGTCAAGGTCAGTCAACGGCCCAATCAGCTTGGCCCAGCCCAACTGACTTCCGGGCCCAATCCGCCTCCTTCATTAGCCAAGGTATAAAAGCCAACAATTTGGTCAATCTTGGCTTAAGACAATAAAGCCTCAAGCAACTAAACTCTTGCACAGCTTTCTCTCTCTAATATACTGACTTAAGCATCGGAGGGGCCTTCCTCGGTCGTCCCCCCGAGGCTAGTTTACGCTGTGTATTTGTTGTGCAGGAAACCCTCGGCTCCTGCGTCGTTCGGACCGAGACCAAGTTCCCTCAAGATAAAAGATCTTCCGAGATTCGATTGTTTTCATCCGAAACACCTTTGATTCAACATTTTGCTGTTTCACTTTCTCTTCTAGCTTTTTAACGCGTTCTTGGAGGTGTTCCACATATTTTACTGCTTCTTCAAGCACCGATACTTTGTTTATCTATAAATTAATTAACAAATTAAAAACAATCTAAAACTAGCTGGCATTCATTAATATATATATTGATATATATGATATGTCAATACTATAGTTGGATATTTCTCGGTGTCTATTTTCAAAATAACAATTTTCGTAAATGAATAGCAAAAGATTTATTAATGATCAAAGTTATGAGTTTCAAGTAGCAAATATGCCTAAAAGAAACGATAAAGTAGGGTGATTCTAGTCATTCTACTTTAGATAGATGAGGTCAAATTTGTTACCTTTTTAAGACAAGGAATGAGGGCAGAGAGAGCAATTAATCTTTGACTAAGTATGTCTCTTCTGCGTCGCTCTGCAATAACATGGTATTGAAGATTCAATTTAGATCTTGAATCCATTGATCTAGTAGTCCTCTTGTTACACCCACGACTTTCGTTCTCTTTAGGAACATTATCATCCTTCACCGCTGGAGAACGTAAAGCATCCGATATGGAAAAATTCCAGCTGCTACTTTTGAGTCTCTTAGAAGCAACCTCAAAACTAATAAGATGGGGAGTTTCGACGATTCCGATTTCACCATAGTCGTGGTCATCTTTCGTGCAAGACGCGAAGCTATGTGATGATACACAAGCATTATATTGTAGAGACTCCATTGTTCCCTAGGACAAATAATAAGATCAAAGATTGAGTATGAAGGGTTATTTTATTTCATTTGTTGGTGTTATTTGGTCAAGAAGATAGGGTAGATCCAAACATTTATAGTACACAATAAATTATTATAGCACTTAAGAGTAAGTTTAATTCTGAAAATCATATGAGGTATACACATCATTATAATATAATATAATGAAAATTTTGACAATTACCACCTAGAACTGTTTCCATTTTAACAATTGCCACCTACTATTAATTTTTTAAAAAATTACTACCAACTTTTTTTTAAAAGACCAAAAGGACTCGTTGACTCTCAACCACCTTATGACGTCATGTGGGCCCCACATAATACCTTCCCTCCCCTTTTCCCTCCCATTTCTTATTTCTTACTCGATACTTCACTCTCATATTCAATTTTTCGTTGAAGAAATCGAAAATTGAGATTAATTGTCACATTGTTCGTGATGCTATTACAGAGGGCTTAATTGCCCCTTCTTATGTTTCCACTAAGGAGCAACTTGCCAGATATTTTCACTAAGGCGCTTGGGAAGTCTCAGTTTGATCATCTTCTTTCCAATTTGGGCATTTACAATCCCCATGCTCCAACTTGAGGGGGGTATTGGAGGATATATTTTGGGAATTATTAGGATATATTTAGTTTCCATAATTTATGCCTAGTATATATTTTGTGCCTAGCATAATATCTTTTTGGGATCTTTTGATTATTTCCTAATTCTATGGGTTAGGAAAACGATGTATTATTTATTGGTTATGGCCATCATCATTGTAATTCAAGCTTTGAGGTTTTACACAATTTAACACATATAGACCACTAATTAAAATCATATCAAATGATTATGTATATTATATTGCATTGGTACGTAGGAGAAGAACCTATATATTATAAATAATACAATAAATAATAGTTTAACATTAATCGCGATAAGATAAGAGATTATACGATCAAAAATATTAATGGCGTGCTTTGTAACCATAAGTGATAAAAATATAGTTTCAGACATCACAGATCCATTTTAAGTTGATCGTATCAAATTTTATAATTAGTTTATTATACTAGTATATTTCATTTTTATAGAATACAATAGACTAATGGACAGAATCTTTTCGCGATATTGATGTTTAAGCATGCGAAGAGAGGATTAATTTTTTAATCTAGTTGGATTATAAAATTTCAAGTTATTGTTTGACATGTTTAATATGCCCGCCGACATAACTATATCTCCTAGCTAGCTATTTATGAAGGAATATTAAATATTTTACTTCAATTTTAAAAAGGTGTTAGTTCTTTTCCAATTTATCTATCTATTAACATATACTAAGGGCCTGTTTTATTTAGTTTATGGGTAGAGTAGAGCAGATTATTATTATTATTATATTATTATTTATTATTATTATTATTATTATTATTTATTATCGCATTATTATTATAATCATTAAATTTTATTATAAAAATATTAATTATTATTATTATATTGATTATTATTATTAATATTATATTATTATTATTATTATTATTATTATTATTATTATTATTATATTATCTCAAAAACAAAAGTCATACAACCTACAATAAATTAGTGGGAAGCCGAGATACAATCTGGGCCCCCACTCCTCTAGCAATAGCAAAGCCTACCATAGTGAATATATGAGCTGCAACACGAGCCCCTATGTCTTGCGTCGTCGAGAACCTCTGAATCCGCTTCAGCAACGCAACAACCTCCTTATTATTAAAATTAATAAATAGTATTATCTTTAAATATTAGTTATTATCTTTAAATATTAATTTTTATTATAAAAAATCAATTATTACAATTATTATAATTATTATTATTACTGTTATTATCATTATTATTATTACTGTTATTATCATTATTATTACTATTATTATTATTAAATATTAATTATTATTTATATAATTAATATTATTAAATATTAATTTTTAATAATAATATTATTATTAAATATTAATTATTTATTATTATTTTTTTTTTAAAATTAATTATTTATTATTACTATTAAATATTATTTATTATTATAATAATTCAATATTAAGTATTATT